ACTGCCAGATCGTAAAAGTTCATGCAGAGGCCTTCATGGGGCTCAGTTACGTGACTGTGGTCTCACCAGCACCTCAATCTCTTAAGGCTGCTTCTGTGGACTGGCTCCCACTTCAGGGTCAGCGGGCCAGACAGATGTTCAAGGAGCTTCCTGATGAAGGAAATGCTCACATACCAAGGTCTGGGGAAGCTGTTCTGGCTGATACAGGAGATAACTTGAATCTGATGGCAACTAGAACAGCCTGTCTGTGGCAGGTCATATGTCTGCTTTAATTAGTTTTTATAACTTTACTTATTTTTGACCGTGCTGGTCTTTGCTGTTACCTCGGCTTTTCTCCAGTTGCGGCGGCGAGCGGCGGCTAACTCTCTAGTTGTGGTGCGCAGGCCTCTCATTGCAGTGGCTTCTCTTGTTGCAGAGCACAGGCTCTAGAGAGTGTGGGCTTCAGTAGTTGCGGTTCCCAGGCTCCAGAGCATAGGCTCAATAGTCATGGTGCATGGGCTTAGTTGCTCCGCAGCATGTGGGATCTTCCTGGACCAGAGATCAAACCCGAGTCCCCTGCATCAGCAGGCGGGTTCTTTATCACTGAGCCACCAGGGAATTCCTGTCTGCTTTAACTATTAAAGGGAACACTGACCAGAAGTAAAGACTACCCATGTTAAAAATGAAGATTAAACACCTCCCCTCGTGGGACACCAATGCTGGTTACTCCCTCCACAATACGACTCGCTTCCTAGGTGCCAAGGCCACACTGAAGCCCCGTATACGTGCCGGTCTACTTTTTGAAACCTTGAAGGAATGTTTCCCTGACTCATTTGATGTTCTCTGTTCTGACAAGGCAGAAAACTGTGCTGAAAACCCTGCTTCTCCGGAGCTGTTCCTCTGAGTGATCTGACAGGCAGTCTTCCGGGCTACAGTTTGGCTTTTTTCTGTTCCTATATTAGATAGCTCAATTATTTTCATCAACAATCCGATTGCCTGGGTCCAGCTTGAGGGTCGACAGTGGTCCCATTCTCTCAATGACCTCCTCCCGGTCACCAGTTCCTATTAGATCTGCTGATGCCTTGGTCAGACCAGAACCTAAGACTCAAGGTCCCCTCCATTGACCTTGCTGGGAAACTCTCCTACATGTCCTGCAGGGGGCGCCAGGAGCAAGCGCCAGGCCCTGACGGCCCTACCTGGGGCCCCTGGTCACAGAGTAACCCTGAGGGGCAAGGACAAGTCTTACTCGCAGGCCCCAGTTTCTCTGCAGTGACGCGGCCCCATGGCAGCATCCCGTGGGAGCTGGGACTCGGGGCGCATGCACCATGCTGACGCTCTGGACCTGGCTTCCCTGAGGATAACAGTCCATCGTCTCTGACCCCAGAGTCACCTGTCTTCCACACCATCCCTGAAATCTTGGTGGCTTAGCCTGTCAGCTCCCAACTGGGGTGCCATCCCTGACCCCTCACAGGCCTTGGTGAATACTCACTCATAGGAACTTGTCCTCCCTTTTCCCCTCATCTTTGGTCACAGCTGCCCGGCAGACTCCAGTCCAGCTACTGGCTTCTCCCACTCCCGCCAGCTGCCGTGTGGAAGGTTCCACTGAGAACCTACCTGAAGACTCCCAGAAGGCAGCCTGGTGGTCCCCATGCCCACCTGAAGCAGCTCCTTGCTTGCCACTGAAGAAAGCAGATGTCCCAGAATCACTCCATGCCATCCCCTCACTGCATCCGCACCCCACCACCTGTCCACACTCCGCTCTCTCCCTCTATCCCTGAGCAGGCGGAGCCCTCCTGCTCTAGGTGGACCCAAATCCCTGGGCTCTAGGTTCTGCCCATCGACCTCCTCGAGAGCTGGGTCCATTCACCGGCCTTTGCCCCCTTTCTTCAGCCCCTCTCCTGTCCTTGACTCCACCGATGCCCATGAAGCATGTGAGCCAGGGATGTTCAGGTGGATCTCTCGGCACCTGTGAGCTTGTTTTGAGCCTTATGATAGTCTGGGAGCCAGGTTTCATCATCTCTGCTCTCCAGACAAGGAAAGTGAGGCAGAAAGGTTAAGTACCGAGTTCAAGGTCAGCACAGCTATGTGTGAATGAGTAGGCTGGGCCCTGCAGGGCTGGCTATCCCTCGAAAATGACCAGGCCTCTTCCATCCCCACACTGATGCCGCCTGCCAGCATCACTGCTATCCCCTTTTACCTCCCCCCTCCCCACCTTCAGCCTCATCCCTTAAACCATGGCCCCTTCTCATCCCTCCTTCCTCGGCTGAGTCGACCCTGATCAAGGTCGTTGTGAAGTCATGCCACCAGCGCTCGATCGTGTCTCCCTGGTCGTCGTGTTTCAGAGTGCGTGAGCACATGGACTCCTGGTGAATCCCATGGAGGACGGGTCTCCTCTGCCTGTTCTCATGGGCCACCGGTGAGGGGCAGGGGTGGGGCTGGGGACACAGGCCCTGCACTCCAGGGCTCTGTGTGACCTCCGCAAAGTGACAGCCTCTCTGGGACTGTTTTCTCCTCGGTTGAATGGGACACGCACGTGTTGGTGGAGCAAAGACGATATCTGTAGCACAAGAGGCCCTGAGCAGAGGCTCAGAGAACAGCACGAACATGCTTAACACTGAGCTGGCTCTGGGTCTGGCGGGGCGCTGTGAGTCCCAAGTCCTCACTCACAGACTTCTCCCAACAACCATAGGAAGCAGGAACTGTCATCATCTCCGCTCAGTAAAAAAAGGAGACTGAGGCAGATGGGGCTTGAGGGTCCCAGTTCAGTGGACAGAAGCAGGGGAGCTGGGATTCAAGCCCCTATGAAGCCACTCACCTGACGGCCACTGCTGAGTCCCTGTACTGAGGGGACTCAGGAGAGGGGCCAGCAGGTCTCCTAAGCTCAACCGCTCAGGCTGACCCTCTGGGGCCGGATTCAGGCCCACCTTGCAGGGACCAGCAGAGCAGACTCAGCTAGAGGTGCTGGCCGCCAGAGAAAGTGGCTACCTCCCACTGGGTGTGACACGGCCCCTGGTCCCCCAGGGGCAGCAGTGTCTGTCCCTACACCATCTCAGCAGGCTGGCAGGGCTAGAAGCCCTGTGCTGTCTCTGTACACTCAGCCCTCTCTGAGCCCTTGGTCTTCCCAGGAAGTGAAGTACCAAAGCTGTTAATATTTCAGCATCTGTGGCATTTTCAACCCTCCTGTTTCTGTGGATGACGATGTCCAGGTGGAGTGGTGAGGGGCTGCCGAGGACCTGCCACGTGCTCGGCTCGGTGACCCCTCGTTAACCTCGAGAGATGCCCTGGGAAGGAAGGCCAGCCACCCTGGAATCATTCACAGCCCAGGAGCGCATCTGAGTCTGCAGAGCCAGGAGGGCCATGGCTGACCAGCCCGGCTATGCCAACTATGTGGCCCCAGGCACCTGAGCGGCATTCTCCAGGCCTGTTTGTCCAACTGCAGCACATGTACAAGAGAGGGGTTATCTCCCTGGGCTCTTATGAAATTCAAAGGATTGTGAATTTGGGGGTTATAAACCCCAAAGCGCAGTCATATGAAAAGGGTTGGTTTCTTGAAATTTCCTAATAGGGTATGCACGTGAGCACATACACACATACACACACACAAAGGATTACCTAACAAACACAAGTGAATTATACACAGGACACACACACAGTAGGTGACTGTATGACACAGCAAAGAACTAGCAGTGAGTATAGTTAATGGCAGTGTCTCCTGGGGAGGGGGTGCTAAATCCCAATATCAGAGGATGGACACAGTAGGATTGAGGCAAGAAGCCTTTTGCGGTGGGGGGAGTAGCTGGAGGCGTGACTACAGGCAGTGGAAGGACAAAGTGACCAATCAGGTCAGTATCACAGGTGCTGACATTTGGGAGCAGCTGTAAACTGTCGTGGCTGCAGCCCTTGGGTTTCCAAGACAACGGGGCAAGGTGGACGGAGGGAGATGAGGTTGCCTTGGAGCCTGTAGGCGCCAAGACCAGGGAGCTGAGGTACCCGGCAGGGACTGCGGATGCCCAGGGTACCGCTAGCCGCAGGCAAGATCACTCAGGGCAAGAACACGTCTACCAAGCGCAGAGCGGCAGCAAAGAACCCTGGTTCGGCCCTCAGTCGAGTGACAACGCCCGGTTCCTCCACCGTGTCCCTTTCCGTGGTGCAGGGCCGGAGCTCTGCTTCCCAGGCCGCGGGGAGCACGTCTGCATTTAATACAGCGCTGGGGGCCATGTCCGCGCTGCTCCACCCCTGAACCCGCGGTCAGAAAGGCGGAGGCGCTCAGTAAGGGGCTCTGCTCCGCCGGCCTCCTCTCCTCCAGTCCCCGAAGCCCGCGCTCCCCCTGCTGTGCAATGCGGACTCCTGGGAGGGGCAGAGCTAATCCAGGGGATGGTCACTCCGGGCGGAGTCGCGTCCAGGCGGCGGTCGTCCAGGGCAGGAGGTGTGACCAGGGAAGTGGTCTCCCCCATCAAGGGTCCGCATCCAGGGGGCGGTCATCCAGGGCGTGAGGCGCGTCCAGAGTTGTCAGCTCTAGCGGGGGGCGCGTCCAGGGGGCGGTCACTCTGGGCAGGGACTGGAGTCCCTCCCCGGAGGTCCGCTGCACTTCAGCCAATCATGAATAGAGATGCGTTAGGGGTGCGTTAGGCACCAGACTACCCTCTCCTCACCGGCCCTCCGCGTCGCCTTGGCAACCGGCCTAGGTCCCGCCCTTCCCCGGACGCGTAAACAGGAAGTGGGCGTGCGCGCGGCGTGCGCTTCCGGCGCAATAAGGGGCGGGAGCGATTGTGAACGGCGGCGGGCAGGACCAATCGTGGAAGACACCTGAGGGACGAGCCAATCGTCAGGGCCGGAGCGGGCGGGAGGGGACTAGAGACTGAGGCGGGACTGGCGAGACGGAGCCAATCGCGGCGGGCCGCCGGTGCTGGGCGGGCCCTGGGGCGGGGCCGAGGGTCCGGCGGAGGTGGAGGCGGCGGTGGCTGCTGCTACTGCGGCCTTGTGGGGGTCCGGTCCGGGGTCGCTCGGCTGCGGGCGCGGTCATGCTGCAGCTGCGGGACTCGGTGGACTCGGCGGGCACGAGCCCCACAGCGCTGCTGGCGGCCGGCGAGGAGGTCGGGCCGAGTAGTGGCGGCGGCGGCGGTGGCGGAGGGCGTCCGGGGGCGGGCACGCCGCTGCGGCAGACGCTGTGGCCGCTCAGCGTCCACGACCCCACGCGCCGCGCCCGCGTCAAGGAGTATTTCGTGTTCCGGGTGAGGCTGGGGTGGGGGCGGGGGCGGGGGCGGGAGAGGGCGTGGGCCTGTGGTGCCGGGGCCGGGGCGGGGCGGGCGAGCGGGCGGGACGGGCGAGCGGGCGGGACCTGTGACGACCTCCGCCCCCGCTCCGCGCAGCCCGGCACCATCGAGCAGGCGGTGGAGGAGATCCGCGTAGTGGTCCGGCCGGTGGAGGACGGAGACATCCAGGGGGTGTGGCTGCTGACCGAGTAAGGGGGCGCGCCCAGGGGAGGGGCCCGGGCACCTGTGGGCTCCGCAGCGCTGAGGTGACCGCTGCCGCCCGTAGGGTTGATCACTGGAACAACGAAAAGGAGCGACTGGTACTCATCACCGACCAGGCGCTCCTCATCTGCAAATACGACTTCATCAGCCTGCAGTGCCAGCAGGTGGTCAGGGTGGCCTTAAACGCGGTGGACACCATCTCCTACGGAGAATTCCACTTTCCCCCGAAATCGCTCAACAAGTAAGTCTGTTCAACAGAGAGCCCCGCTCCAGGGCCTCCTCAACAGCCCTTCCGAAACCAGCCCCCAGTGGACGTCTTGCTTTAATATCAGTAGAGTTTAGAATAGACACGGGTGACTTCTGCCCAGCAGGGTGCATTAAAAGGGATTCTGGCACAAGAGACAGCTGTTAGGCTTGTAGTAAATGAATTCAGGGTACATTAACATAGGCCTGACACAGGTATTCTTCAGAGAAGAGTGAACTCAGCACTTTATCCCTGCCAAGAAAGGATTGGCAGCTGTCATGTCGAGCCCTGTTGTAGTTAATTTTTAAAAGAAAAAGGTAGCACATTGCTTTGATTTACAGATATTATTGAAGATTAAATTTGGAAAGGTTTAATGGCCAACTTTCAAGAGCTGATCTTCATCTGTTAGGGAGCTTTCTGAAATATGAGAAACCTAGACATGAGTATACTCAGTTGAATTAAATGGTAAATTTTAGGGTTTTGATGCAGAGATTTGGGTAGGAAATTCAGGAAGTTCAAAATTCTAAACAACAATAAAATATTCTGGAAAAAAGGATTTGGAGTTGGAAAAGCGTTATTTGTTTAGTTAGAGCACTATATGTTAAATTTATTAATCGTGTAAAGATTAGCTTAACTAAGTGCACTCAGTTTGTCCTGTCTTAAAGTGCTGAGAGCTGTCGTTATTAGACATGCTGTTCTTGTCCTTGACTTGTGTGAAATGGCCATCATCAGTCTCGCCTTCAGCAGTGAGACCGCTTTTTGTTCCCACACCTGGCACCAGGCAGGTGCTCTGGGGTGCAGGCCTGCCTGTGAAGTCTGGTCCCTGTCTTCTGACCCTGCAGGCGAGAAGGCTTTGGGATTCGAATCCAGTGGGACAAGCAGAGCCGCCCGTCCTTCATCAGCAGATGGAACCCGTGGTCCACTAGCGTGCCGTACACCACATTCATAGAACACCCGATGGCTGGTGTGGACGAGAAGACAGCCTCTCTGTGCCAAGTAAGGGCATGGACGGCGGCAGCAGCGCTGCCCAGCGGGGACAAGCACCTTCCAGGCCTGCACTGCTCAGTACGGTGGCCACGTGGGGCTGCCGAGCACTTGAATGGCAGCTAAACTGAGAAAATAAACTTTTAATTTTTTAAAAACTTTAATTATGTTTAGATAGCCCTGTGTGGTAAGTGGGTACTGATCAGTGTGGTGCTGCAATGTGGCCCCGGTGGCTGTGGTCATTTTGGAGAAGGGCCCAGAAGAGCTTTGGGGTGGGGCAGCTGACCCCCACCCCTGCTAGAGCTGGGCAGGCTGCACGCTCAGCAGGAGAGGAGACCTGGGGGTGATGGGCACGGGGGCCGGGACTGGGGACAGGCCCCCTACTTCCAGCCATGTGCCTTAGCTTGCTGCTTGCCTGGTCGGTGGTGGGGAGCATCCGCTGGGTCACCGTGGCAAAACTCCTTCGAGCGGAAGAGGGAGGTCTGTGAGGACTAGCTGTCGTCCATTATGGGTGAGGGCGGAGGTGAGAGCCACACCCAGGAGGTGAGCCCATGGGCCACTGGGTGTGGCTGGGAAGGCCTCTTGTCCAGCGGTGGCGGACCTCGTGCAGATCGTCTGCTCAGGCTCCGTGTTTTCTCTCTTTGCAGCTGGATGGTTTCAAGGCTCTGTTAATCCAAGCTGTCAAGAAAGCCCAGAAGGAAAGTCCTCTGCCAGGCCAGGAAGGTGGCGTGCTGGTCCTGGAGTGTCCACTCCTCATTGAGACCTATGTGGGGCTCATGTCCTTCATCAACAATGAGGCCAAGCTGGGCTACTCCATGACTAGAGGCAAGATCGGCTTCTAGATGCTGCATGTGGGGCTCTTGCCAGGAGAGGCGGCCAGCAGGACTCTGGGAGTGACAGACCTTGGTCCATGCCCCCTACCTTCAGGGACCTGGGCACCACAAGTGCAGTCAGGTGGACCGAATACTGTAGCTGGATACTGAACAGATGATCACGTGAGCTCCAGACACAGCAGAGGGAACCTGTCAGCATCCTGGCCAGGATCTCAGTCTCTGAGTCCTCTGTGTCTCCATTCGCCTCCCTATGGTCCCTCCCCACACGCCCTGGAGCATGTTAACAATAAACGTCGCGTGATTAGCCGCGTAGTTTGCTCCATCCGGGGATATGCCTGGGACCCAGCGCCCATGGTTGCAAGTCTGGGTACAGTTGGTGTCCAGTTTTGCATTTTGAGATTTAATCCATCTTCTTAAAGTTAATATGGAAGAAGCCAGCAGACCACCAGCTCAGCGAGTTGGCCTGCCTTGTCACCTCCTAAATGAACTGTTGCTTTTGTGGAAATGCGTGCTTGACCTAAAGTCACACTTCTCCTAAAATTTATCTATAGTGTGTGAATAATACTGATGACGTCTTTCTCAGGCCCACTCAAAAAGCTTCCCAGAAAATAATTTTAAGTCATTCGTTTGAGAAAGTCACATTGGTAAGTTCTTTGCACACGATGTTGACATCTCTGTTAGGTTTGTCCTGTCATGGCATATTTTTAAAAAGAAATCCTTAATTTGCCTTTAAGGAAGCACTTTCAGAAAGGAACCACATTAAAGTCTCCTGAAGCAGCCCGCCCCACCTCAGTTCCTACTGCTCTGTGCAGACCCCAGCCCATGGGCAGTCATTGCTCATCACCCCTGCCCATCCACAGCAGTCTGCCTGCTGGCTCCCAGGTTCCTTCCTCCTCACTGCCCAGGCTGGCAGAGCTGTAGTCGGCATGGATATGATGATCCTGAGGCAGGGGCCTGTCCACATTGAAAGGCTTCCTTAAAACTCTGCCTGGGTCTTGAGCTTTTGCTTTTGGTCTTCTAGTAAAGATGCTTAGGATTCAGTGAGTGTCGTTCCTTTTTTAAAATAGGCGCAACAACCAAGAAAGGGTCTTAATTTGGTGAGACCATCTTAGAGCCAAGATGTTCTCTGCACTGGATTTGACCCCAGCCATGTGCACCGTGGGGATTTGCACAGCCTACTCCCTTCCCAGCCACAAGGGTGGTGCCCACCGTCCAGCCTCTGCCCAGGGTGAAGAACCCTTATTCCTCCAGTGTCCTCAGCCCTGGCCGACCACCTGAAGCACCTGGATCATTCCAGGTGGACACTCCCTGCAGAGACCTGACCTTAACTGAGCTGCCCTGGGACCCACAGCCCTGGCCTCCAATTCTGCCCCAGCACAGGCCCATGTGACACACAAGCCCTGCTTCAGAGTGTTCAGGGACAGAACAGAGGCTCCGTGCAGAATGGGTCCTGTGTCAACGGTGGGGTGGGGGACTGGCCACTTGGGGTGCAGTTACTTCCCCTAAGACAAGTGAACCCCAACTTAAAACTGATCTGGAGGACTTTCCTGTGACTTAAACCTTTTAAGAAAGTAAGCATCAGCCATTTTATAAATGAACAAATATTTATTTTAAATAACAAAAATTAGTTTATTCCATACATATTTACAAAAACACCTTGCTATAGCAAAATGAAAGCAAATCCTTTCCTCTGGGCCCTGGAAGGAAAACTCGCCCAAGACTCTCTGCTCCTGTCCTGTGGCCAATGTGTGCCACCTGGGCCTGACCATGCCTGGGTCCTACGTGCAGTCGCCCCGCTGCCCGAAGGCTGTATGCACCCCCTCCTCCATCTCCAGGAAGCACAGGCAGAAGTGGTCCTTGCTAAGGAGGGCTAGAGAGTCCCCACTCGGATGCCAGCACAGGGAAAGCACCTGGAAGTCACCTGGAGAAGACAGGTGGCCAGGGGTTAGGGGAGGCCCACGTCCCAGGGTGACCCAGCTGGAGTCCCAAAGTTCAGCAGGTGGGCCCCGAGGTTCATGGGCAGGTGCCTCCCCAGAGCATCTGCTTGTGTCCCCGCCCTCGCTCACCTTCCCCGGGAACCTGCACCGACACGCAGCCTGCCGGCGACCACAGGTACACCTTGCTGCCCCCCGTGCAGATGGCCAGCCGGGGCTGCTGTGGGCCCCACTGGAAGGCGCGCACAGCGCATAGCTGCTCCAGCACCGCCAGCAGTCTCAGCTTCCGGATGTCCCAGATCCACACGGCATTGGGGACGCTGTCTTTGAGGAGGAAGGGGCACTCAGGCTCACGTTCACCCCTCGCTGCTCTGCTCCAGCCCGCAGCCCTTCACCAGTGAAGATGCCCACCTTCCCCAGGGTCACGGCGCGGGGCGGGGAAGCGGGGGGGCATGTCCTGTGGGCCTGGAGCCCTGCTCTTTCCCAAACAAAGAGCAGAAGGCACAGAGGCCTGGGACAGGCCACTGACCGTTCCTTGTGGCCAGGAAGTAGTTGTCAGGACTGAAGGCCAGCGCCCCGACGCCGATCCTGGGGTTGGCTCTGTCAGCGGCTGGCTTTAGGGTCTGTAAGGAGACCGGCATCGAGGCAATCTCGTCTGGGCAGGGAGAGAGAGCGCCCTGAGCCTCCCCGTGGGCGAGCAGCCTGGGTCTGCAGTGCGGCCCGCAATGGGAGAGGAAATGACCGTAACTACCCGTGGGGCGAAGAGGACACGTGATAGCAGGGGCAGGCAGGATCTGACAGAAGGCAGGGCTGTGCGGGCACCTGGCCTGCCCTCCCCTGCAAGGCTGTGGTTCCAGAGCTGTGACAGGCCAGGCAACACCGCAGGGCCTCGTGGTTGGCCCAATTACTCCCATTTTATGGATGATGAAACCGAACCACGAGTGACCTCTGCACCCCAGATGCAGCTGCAGCTCCTCCCTGAGTCCTCTGATGGCCTCCCGCTCACCCAAGGGAAGGTCAGCGTTCATTAAAAAAAAGTTGCTCTCAAGACCAGCCGACAATCAGGAGTCCCAGGGCATGTATTCAATCCACGGAGCCAGAACCCAGGCAGCCTGCTGGCTCTTGGCTGAGGACGCTGTCCACCAGGTATCGCCAGAGAGGAAAAGGATTGAAAGGGAAAAGGGAGTATCTGGAGTCCTGGACCGAGAGGGCTTTTTCTCATAACGAAAGGAAAGGAAAGGGAGGAAGACGAGGGCAGCACCACCGGCCAAGTCGCTCACATTTGCTCTCCGAGGATGTCAGGGGCCCAGCCACTGCTCGGGGTGGAGGGAAGGCCAGGTGGCCCAGTGGCGGGCTCTTCTCAGCCTCCTTGTACACCACCTGGAAGAGAGACGGCCCAGGCAGCACGTGTGGCTGTGGTCCCTCACTGTGTCCTCCTGGACCATCTCCACGAGGTCCCGCCTGCAGCCGGCATTTCAGTGGAGACAGGTGACAGATGGGCCAGGGTGGGGGCACGTGTCACCAGAGGCCGGATGGGAAGGGCGAACGGCCGTGGGGTGATGGACCCGAGGCGAACCCTGCGAGGCCTCAGGTCAGTCCCAGTCCTGCACCTCCAGTGGGTCCTCCAGTCACTGCCCTTGCCGGAATGTCCGCCCACTCACAAGCTCCCAGAAACCCACTCAAAGACCCCAGGGCTGTACAGTGGCCCACCTACTGCTTCCTCCTCACCCCACACCTGTCTTACTTGGGTAGCTCACCTGCAGGCAACTCACCAGAGTGTCTGCCCCCGTCCCCGCCATCCCCGCCCTGAGGCCGGGGTGCCTGCCCTCATTCCCACTGTCCCCGTCCCGAGAAAGGCTGTCTGTCTGGGTCCCTACGGTCTTCCGCACCCCGTCAGGGGCCTGCCGAATAAACAGAGCTTGATCCCTCCTCAGGGTCTCTGCACTGCTGTTCTGTTCACACTGCCTGAATCGCTCTTCCCCAGACCCTGTACCACCTCCTCCCAAGATCCGCCTCAGGGCTCCTTGGCAGGCAGCCTTCCTCCCCTCCCCGGGAAGGCTCCACAGGGAAGAAGTCGCCTGCTCATCTCAGACTGGCCCAGAGCACAGCGCCTGGCCCAGCAGGTGCATGGTGCCTGCAGGCAGGGGACCCTGGTCACGGCGCAGAACAGGAGCTGGTCCCAGAGTCGTGGGGGTGGAGGAGGCTGGGAAGGACACGTGGGACCCTTTGGGAACATGGCAGGAAAAACAAGGTCCAAGGGAACGTCTGCACTTGGAACGTTTCAGCATCAGAAGATCATAGGGACGTGAGCCCCTGTATCACTTACACTGATAGTGTAAAGTGAAAGAGCAGCTTTCTATCCCTTCCTCAAACACTCTTCCAGACTTACTATTTTAGGATTATTAACAGTTGCAGGATGCCCAAACTCCGTGATCATTTTCCAAGTCACGTGGTTAAGAATCCGCACCTGGAGAGAACCACGTGGTCAGAGCCTCCGGGGCGCTGGCTGTGTGTGGGCTTTGCCCCACAGGCCCCCTCCCACCTTTCCATCGTAGCTCCCGATCGCCAGGAACTGACTGCTGGGGCTCCAGGCCACGGCCTTGATGCCCAGGGACCACTCGTAAGCACAGAAGGCGGACAGCAGCCGGCCATCCAGGGAGTAGAGCAGGACCTTGTACTGCAGAGACAGTGAAGGCATTACTGAACCTGTGGCGTGCAAGGCGGCCACCCCAGGGGAGTGAGACTTGGGCGGGGACCCTGCCCTCCTCCGCAGTGGTGGGAAGTGGAGACGGGGACGGTACTGGAGAAGCAGACAGAATGCTGTGGGAAAGGGGAAGCTGGGTCTTAAATCTAAAGACTTGTCATAAAAGCTCCTCAGCTCAACATCTGAAAAAGGCAGAGTTCACGCGTGAGGCATTCAGAGAGCGTGAGAAACACAGACAACAGTGCTACAAGCAGAGAGTGCGTCCTGAGCGGGTTCCCTACCTCCAGGCAGGAGTCCCAGACGGCCAGCACGCAGCCGTTGGGGGCCCACTCGATCCCTGCCAGGTCCTGAGTGTCCGTGTCAAAGTGCTT